TGTATCTATCTATCTACCTACCTATCTATCTATCTATCTATCTATCTATCTATCTATCTATCTATCTATCTATCTATCTATCTATCTATCTATCTATCTATCTATCTATCTAGATTTTCCTGCCTGGATGAAGGAAACATCACACCCGTTGTCTTAATGAGTAAAGACTCCTCAATTTAAAAAAGATGGGTCCAAAAGATTTAGAGTTTTATGTTAACCGTCCAAGCTGTGATTAAAGACTTTGGCCAAAGAGAGAAATAGTTTTGTTTAAAGGGAGCTGGCCGGCTTTATAGAGACTGAAACCACTCTGGCATTGAAAAATAACTGATGCATAAAATCCCTCCGCCTGACCTTTTGACCCCCAAGGCACTTAGCCTTTGGCTGTTTTTCCCTTTTACTGTTTTGAGTTGTAAAATATTGATGGACACCGTTCAAATATTGAGTAAAAGCCAGTTATTGGCCACCCTGAGCGTGTAATATATCAGATAAATGAAAAGGGGAAACTGACGAGGCCTTCACAGTCAAGTCAGCGAAATTGGGGGGCTTTACTGTTTATTACCTGCCGTTATTGCTCAGTTCAACCATTCTCAGCCTGTTTATGTTCCCTCAAAAGTCCTGGACAAATGCGTACTGAGCTACTAAGCCCAGTGGTGAGTGGACGTCCTCCCTAGAGACCAGAAGAAGTTTCTGTTGGAGACTATGATCCCCTTGATTGGAGACCTGATCCCTTGATCGATACTGGACCTGATTTAGAGACCACTAACATGCCTCCATTGTCAAGGGACCATGCTTTATCCTCAGGAAGAAGAGGGAGGGAACAAATGCTGGTCTGGAAACGCCTGGTCACTAGGTCTGCATCAGAGGTAGGAGTTTCCCTTCTTATAATACACATCTCAATATCTCCACGTTTAGAGACTAGACGCTTTTATCCAAGTAGAATATATGCATGTGTATCTCCCTGTCTGGGAATCGAACCCCCAGTGTGTCCCGGGGACACTCAACACTACACTAACCCAAGTTTTCCGTTTTATGAGGGTGGTTCTGCTCTGGTTCCCGATAAATAGGCGTTCCCAAACCCAGAGGAACCAAATGTCTGCTTTCCACCACCTGAGTCGTGTCTTGGTTAGTCCTGTGTTCGGTTTGGTTTAATTTGGGTCAGGTGGGTGGGGATATCTTTTTTAGAGGGGCGGTCCAGACCAGATGTAGTTCGTGGTCTCTCTTTTGGTTCATTCATTGTACGACAAAAATTTCATCTAAGAGGACAAAAATGAATATCCATGGTCTCAAATTAGTTTTTATTTGGCCACAAATTCATAATCTGTGTCAACAAATTAGTAGTTTGCGAATGAACAATTTAAATATGGAGCCAAACTAACCCTAACCCTAACCTTAACCCCTATATTAAGGAAGCATTTGCCCGTCTAGTAAAGGTGGATCGGGCTTTAAAGGGTTAAATATGGAGCCAAACTAACCCTAACCCTTTATTTTGTGTGCGTTACATTTGATTACCCAACTGTCACGTCAAATCGAGGGGATGGTGTTATAAACTAAGCTCTCAAATTAGTATTTCATGGAAACATTGTAAGTTATTGAGGTCATTTGAGCGGACAAAATAGGCATTTTCTTTTTCAGGTATGGGGCTCCATAGGACCGATTTCGCATAAAAGACATAAAGAAAAGATTCT